TTTAGCTGAAAACCCCTTGTCGTGCTATAGGTAGGGAATCTAGGAGCATGAATACCTATTTGCTGGAGCGCATTAAACAACTCTTCTGTAGTTTAGCTCTTCAGGGCAAACCAGTGAAGCTGTACTCCATTTCTGAAAGTGTTAGGTTCATGGTTGAAAGATGATTGTTACTGAATCGGACTGAGCGTCTGTTAGCCACTCTTAATTCAATTCCGAGCTTCCTTGTGTGGACACAGCTATAGTTTAAGTGAGGGAACTTAGAAACCAGTTTAGTTCAATTGGTAGAATTGGTGTCTGCATGTGGCTTTAAATTATGGCAACCAAAGTTGGCAGACTCTGGCTAGGTTTAAATGGGCGTGAACTGTTGGTCTGACTCCTTCAGCAGTAAAAATAGTCAAGGAAAACTCTTAATCCAGGTATACTCTTATTTTTCCAAGGCATGAGCTACATGTGACTACAATTTCTGCTGGATTACTCTTCTTGCCATTTACAGTCACAGAACGTTTCCGTGACAATTTTGCCAGGTGCTTACATGGAAAAATAATTTTAGGAAAGTATTTGGTGTATTTTTTTAACCAACTTTTTTAATGCTTTATACATGTCGGAAGTGAGGATCAGCCAATTGATTTGGCAGTTTTCTCTAGAAATTAGTTTGGATACCTCTTCTTTGCTTGCTTGCTTCACACCAAGAGAAAGTTGGTGATTCTCTGTCAGTTTGGAGGTAGGAGGGGGAATAGGGTGGCTGTTTGGCTTTTGGTGTTTTTTAATAGGTAGCAGCCTTATTACAACCCTAACTGGACGCTAGCCCAGACGGCAACACTTATCAAAGCGTGTGAACGCAGGTTGAGCCTAGTTTTGGATATTAACAAATGCAGGAATTGCCATAAATTCCTGTACTTTAGGAAAGCAGAAATTCTTTAGTGGACAGTTCAGGTGTAACCTGCCCACAAGAAGTGGACATATCTTCCTAAACCTGCCTCTTAGTGATGGGCGTATGCTCTGAGCCATGAAGTTTTACATCTTACACAGTTTTATTGTGAGCTCTGCATTTTTGTGAGTTTCACAGGCAAATGGAGCAACCTTCTCGGGACGTGCAGAAAATCTTTGACATTAGTATTTGTGATCCTTTTCTTAAGAATGCTAACTGGATTTTTGTACTGAGGCATTTCCTAGACTTTAAGGTCAGAAGAAACTATTCTGATAGACTTGCAGAACAAAGGCCCTAGAATCTCACCAGTTCCTTCATCAGTCCTGTAAGCTTAAGTTTGAGCTAGAGCATCTGTTTTAGAAGGACCAGGTTTCTCTTTAGCTAGCCCCATCCTGGGAAATACTTGGTTACAGGCCCTTTAAGCAAATAAAAAAAATTCCCAACATCCCACCTACTTTTTAGGGGGTAAATTGGTGATAGGTTATGCAAATCGGCTATGATGAAACAAAATTTCCAGTCTTAGTCACAAACTTGTAAGGGAGAAAACATGAAATGTCTGACTTGGACTCTGTGTGGTGTTGGCAAGTGGTATTTTTAGACGTGCACACCACCGTAGTTATCTGTATTATAAATCTTGTTACAACACATGGTTTGATGATTCTTTTTTATGACCCTGTTACATCTGCATGTCCGTGCTCAGAAATCTTGAATGCTGGGGGGTGAGCTAGAATATAAATGGACATGCTAAGATAAAGTCTGGCATTGGATGCTGAAAGCCTAAATGGTGATGTTTTCAGAGCATTTGGGTAAAAGGAAATGGTTGACAACTTAATTTTTTAATGGGGAAGTAAAGAGCAAATCTTGGGTTTCTTAATCACAAATTGCTTATGTAGCAGTAATGTCAGTCTGTTTGACTGGTCGTCTTGTGATAATGGATGTGCTGTGATGTCTGAAGGACTCTCCTTTTATTTTTGTTCTTCTAAAAGTATATATGCTTTTTCTCCCAGAGGCTTCTAACATGGCCAGAAAAAATTCCCCTTAGACTGAACATATTAAAATTGTTTTTAAAAATCCCCAAATCCTAGATGTTTTAGCTGGAGAAGCATTTGTTCCTCTGCTTAAATTAAGAGGTAACTCTTGGTTTGTATATTATAAATAAATAAATAAATAAAATGAAAAACAGCGAGTTTGTAAAGTGATGCAAACAGTTCTGCTTCCTTTGCTAGCTCTTCCTAGTGCTGTTTATGATCTTGGTTTGTTTTTTTTGACCTTTGATGCACAGTGCTGTTCAGCGTGTGTATGGTCTCTCAAGTGATCAAACTGCCATGGTACAGGTGGTTATTTTTTGTTTTTTGGGGGCTTTTTGTGGTCAGTTTTGTGGCCAGTGTGCCGCGTTTGACTGTCAGAAGAAAGGTGTGGTGTGTATCTGCTGTAGGATGTTCATTACTGGACCTAGCGAGTCACTTTTGCATAGTGTTGTGCCATTTTGTCCTTCAGGCTGTGGCACGACATTGATAACTCCGAGCATAGATGATATCGCCATGTAGCAAACCTGAGCAGAGGAGAGATTGTTATGATCCATGTTGAGTAGTATTTTCTTAGCCTGTAGTTAATGAGGTTGCTTTTTCTTTCTTGAACCTTCCTTATCTTCACATCTCTGTTAGTTCCTGTGGCAGAAAATATTTCTCAAGACAGGCTCAAAACCTCAGTAGTTGAAGGATTATGTGAATAAAACTTGGGCAAGAAAATGGGCACACCCCTATTATGGAACTGGCCCGTGGGATTTTTAGTGTCATTGTAGATCATGATAGGAAGGGTATCTCAGCACGCACACAGAGTAAACAGCATGGAACCGTATGCACTTTGCCATGGCTAAATCGACCTTATTGGCTGGCAAACATATATATTTAAAACCTGAGGCTTAAACTATTAAGTTATCCTTTCCAGCTAAGCAATGAGTTTGTTTAAATTTACTTCCTTTCAGATAGAAAGGAAGGTTAATCCTCGAGCATATAGCACGTGTTTTTACTTTTACTATCTATCTGTAGTGATTATTTAAAACTGTCAGGTCTCTGCAGATTCTTATCTGCTTCTAACGGTTGTCAAGAAAAAAAATTCCCCTTCCAGGACCTTGGGTATTATGGAGGTAAAAGGAGCAGGTCATCCCTGCCAGGTGACACACCTGGACAGATTGACAGAGATGTTTTAAAGGAAGCAGAGGGTTAATTTTATTTTTATTTTGGCTTTATTTTTTGCCCTTGGGGGTTGGTTTTGCTGCAGGTGTGGCCTAATGTGGGGGGAGGCTGGTTCTGTCTACTTGACAAAGAGCTCGTCTTTTGCTGTGTGTGCATGAGAGTGAGGTTGGAGGCATTCAGGAATCGAATGTGGCCTGTTTTGGGTGTCAATAAAATAAGTTATTCTGAAAGTAAGGTAGAGGATAATTTGCCTTGCTCCAGCCATCTTTGAGCTGCCTCCAGTACCATTCACAGGTCTCTCTTAGTGCACATCTACACCATCCAGGGAGTGCTGGGCAGTGCTGTAGCGGAGCACAGCACAGAATAATTCCAGGTTTTAAAGAGCTTTTTTCCCACGTGGCTGTTTGACCGTTTCCGGGAACATCATTTTATTCCAACTCTGTGCTGGGCTCCTTGCTGCATGGCAGCTCTGTGATGGGTGAGAATTCAAATGCTGAATACTAAGCAGGAGGGGAAGGTTGTGGAGATGTGAGGAGAGTAACCCTTGCCCACATGGGGTGTTCTGGAGCCCATCATTGCAAACTCCCTGCACTCTTCCCGAAAAAGTGCCTTCTGGGGGTATGGCTTGTCCTAGAGCTGGAACTGTTTGCTACCTGCTGGAAAAGAATGACTAGCAATGTTTCTGTTTTAATTTGCCATTCTTGAAGAAGACAGGGTAGATTTGCACCTTATAGACAAATGTAAATCAGAGATGCATATGCTCTGCATCTCTGATGTAGTTGATCTGTAAGATGCAAATCTACCTTCTGCCCGAGTTCAGGCTAACTACCTCTCTCAGTTTAAGAAGGCCAGCTTGCTTTTGGGGCATGTGGTGTGTTGCTGCGTTTTCCGTGCTTTTCTGATGACATTAAAAGTTGAGAGTCTTGAGGAGAAGTTTTACCTTGTTGGGGGTCTTTCTGTGGTCTTTATGATCTGTTGAGTTAATGATAGTTGTCTGGTGCCTAGATCCGCTTCTGCAGATTGAGTAGTTGTCGCTGTCTCACCCTTCTTAATGACTGGTTATAGAATAATCCTTCTAAAACAATCTGGTGCAGCCTTCCTGGTGTGACATTTGGAACCATTACTCTTAACACATGGGTCCATAATTTAACCCAGTCTTAAAACTCTTGCTCACGAGAATATCTGCTTTTTTTTTTTGCTTTTTTTTTTTTTTAAATAGGTCTTGAAACGCCACTCTTACTGAGAGGTGCACATGACTCTTGGAAATATTTGTCTTTTCCCTCTGCTGGCTGGAGAGGCATAATTAAGTCAAAGAGCTGTCCCCAAGACTGTGGTTGGCCTTTTGGAAAGTTCTTCTTTTTAGTTTCTCAGCAAATGCACAGTGAAGGGATCTTCCATTTCAAATCTGTAAGCACATATAAAAAAATTATATGATTATATAACTTAGCTGTTGCATTACTTAAAGTGGCAGGACTTGCCTGCACGGTGGCCCTTTGCTTCTGGATCCCTCTCCAGTTATTCAGGCTTTGTTGATCACGCTGATTTCTAAGCACTGGATTTCACGGCTTAATTAAAATGTGAATGTAAGATGAGTTGAGCAAATCCCTAGGAGATGATTATTCGTATTAGAAAACTATCGCGTAACTTGGCACAATTCATTCTTGAGCTTTTTTTTTAGGCAGGGAACCAAACTGTCAGAGAGGACAGACCTCTGAGCAGGTGAGGACTCGGGTACGCTGATGATATAGTCTGTGTGAAGGGAAATGGTGACTGGAAGAGAGTGGCTAGTGAAGCTGTATTTGTTAGAACTGTTTTCTTTTAACTACTTCAATCCTTGTCCTCCACTTTACACTGATCACTTTTCCCCACCCTTTCAGGCCCTATGAGAAAAAGGGAAAGCTAAGGATGCTGGAGCAGAACAATGGATTTCTCTTTCTCTTTCATGCAAGGGATCATGGGAAACACAATTCAGCAACCACCTCAACTCATTGACTCGGCCAACATCCGCCAGGAGGATGCCTTTGATGCCAGCAGTGACATCGCTGAAGATGGTGGACAAACGCCATATGAAACTGCCCTGCAGCAAGGCTTTCAATACCCGCCACCGACAACAGAGGATCTTCCACCGATCACTAATGGCTATCCACCAACAATCAACATGTACGAACCTCAAGCCAAATATCAGACATACAACCAGTATCCTAATGGTTCGGCCAACGGCTTTGGCACAGTTAGAAACTTTAGCCCGCCAGAGTATTACCAAATGGACAACTCTAATGCAAGGCCGCATGAAGTTCTGGAAAAACCTTCACCCCCACAACCGCCCCCACCACCTCCTCCTTCTGTACCACAAACGGTGATTCCAAAGAAGACTGGCTCACCAGAAATTAAATTAAAAATAACCAAAACTATCCAGAATGGCAGGGAATTGTTCGAGTCCTCTCTGTGTGGGGACCTCTTAAATGAAGTCCAAGCGAGTGAGTATGCTAAGACGAAACATGAAGGGAGAAAGGAAAAAAGGAAAAAAAGTAGCAAGCACGACTCTTCCCGATCGGAAGAGCGCAAGTCGCACAAAATTCCAAAACTAGAACCAGAGGAACAAAACGTAAGTGGAATAAGAATTCCCACTTTTTGTATTCCTGTGATTATTAAAAAAGATTCGATGTAGACACTTTTGTTTTTCCTATTTAGTTGTGTATGTACCTAAAGCAGTGTGAGGCTGCAGCAAACTGTCAACTCTTCAGTCTAGTGATAGAGCTGCTAGGAGTTTCTTATGGAGAATTGTCCAGCACAGCGCTGATGGAAAGCTTGTGTGTCAGAAAGAAGAGTAATTATTACTAGATTGCAGTAGAGCTTAAAATTCAGTCTCCTCCAAACACAGGTAAAGAACCAGCTTGTGCCCCCAAAAGCATACAATATAAAGATTTTTTTTATATTGTCACCTTTCAAAATAATGCTCCTTTCCTGAGCTTTTATAGTATTTTGAGCACTGCAACTCTTAAGTATAATGGAAATATTCTTAATTCTCAAGAGCACCTAACACGTAGGTTACGTTCTAGCTGTTTAAGTGTGCTGTTTTCCTGATGACATTTCAATGTGCTTAATACGTTTTAACAGGGCATTAGGCATTGAAAGCAGTTTTTAAGATGAATCGGATGAATTGTGTGAAACTGAATAAGCCCAGTCTAGAACTAGTTGTGCAACATATGTACAGGCTAGCAAAAATAGTTAGCTGTAGTTTGCTTTGGGTTTTTTTTATTATTATTTTTTTGGCACGCACACTAGAAAAGCCAGTTGAGTCAGTCGGCCCATGTTTGAGAAGATCATTGTGCATGTATCCATCCATTTCTGCCAGGTGCAAGAAATGACAGGATTGCAGCATGCAGTGTGTATGTACACACAGAGCCAGGAACTACTTGAGCAGTGGTATTCAAAGTTTAACCCCTGGTGTGCTAGGCATAAGCATACTTGTTTTCAGACCTGCGGCCTTTTTTACCTTGTTCTTTTGAGCCTCTTCATAGACATCTGGACTCTTTTTACCACTTCTCAGTTTAATTCCTCCTGTTTGATGTTGTTTCCTGGCCTAAGAGGCATTGTCAGCAGGTTGGGCTGGGATGCATCGGGAGTAGGGGCAATGCCCTTCTGTTTCAGAACAGAGCTCATTTTGTTCGTGTCACTCTGCCCACTTTGGGTTTTTTGCAAATCCTACGTACTGGCAACTGTTGAGAGAAAAGAGACCCTGCTATAAAAGCCGGGCATCGCAATGTCCATGTCCTTCACCTGTTAACATGAAGAGGTGGTGACATAACTTATGTTGATTTGGCCCCATAATTAATACAGCAGTTCATGGGCTTAGCAGTTGGAAGGCCATAGACTGACGGTTAACTTGTCTTTTGTCGTAGAAGAAATGCAAACCTGCAGCAGGCCCAGTTTTTATTAAATCAAATGCAGCGTTTCTTCCTGTCGAGTCTTAAAGTCTTTATCGTTTCTTAGCTGCCAATGTATGTTTTATTTCAAGACGTACACTTACGTCTTTGGGGAATTTATTGTTGCCTGCAACTTCTTGAGGTCATTTGGGTGGTCTGTCAATTAAGATTTTGAACTTCTGCCAGACATAGTCCACACAGTTGGCACTAATGAATCTCACTATGATTTTAATGAGCGGCTAATGCCGCTACAGACGTGAAATAGAGTGTCCAGCAAAATAGAGTTTGCTCGATGACTGGTTTTTATACATAATTCTCTTGCTGCTGGAGTTGCGTTGTATGACAGCCAGTTTTAGTGCTCACTGTCTGGCAAACCTTTAGCCAAAAAAGCAGAAGTAACTTGGGCAATAGCCATGCAGGTTCCTTCTCCACCTCCCATGTGAATCCAGGGGATCCGTGCCTTTGGTACAGAACTTGTTCTGGCAGGAACTGGACACATCCTGACAACTGATTTCAAATTTGTCCCTGTTCCCACTTCAAGCATCCTTCTAGGAGGCACTTTTCACTTAGGCCCACACGATGTTTCAGTCAGCATTTTAATTTGCATAAAACACATTTTCAAAAGATAAATAGCTTCCATGTATGAGAGGGGTTTTGCTGGTTTGTGCTGAGGTTTGTTTTGTTTTTTTTCTTTTCAGCACAGACAGCGAAAATAGAATGAGCTGTAGTGGTTGATTTCCCAGTTTTAGTGCAATAATCTGGACACTGCAGGGGCATGTTTGTGCTGAAAGTAAAAAGTTGGAATTGCTGCCTTTCCAAAACCTTGCTGGACTTAGCTCTGGGCATTTGTTAAAAGCAGAAATTGAGCCTGACAGTGAACAGCTGGTTAGAATTTTCTTCTGTGAAGCAAACTGAAAAGTTTGTTTAGCTGCTTTTGTGTAATTAGCTCAGTTGTTTTGTCCAAGAGCAAGCTTTTGGTAGCTCATTGTAGCAGACACTAATGAAGGCATACATTGGTTGGTTTATTCACTGCTATTAGCGGGCTGTTGTGGCAAGGGAGAATGTTTTCTACTCTGAGTTTTAATTTGCATGGTCTTAAGCTACTTGTAATGAATGATCATTATTGTGTGCTGCTTGAATACTAAATGTTAACATGTACTGAGAATGTGGGTTTATGTGCACTAGGCACTGTGGTTTTTAAATAAGCATTTTCTAGGTAGTCTAACACGAAGCATGCATTTATGAGTATTGCAGCACTGGTGTGTTATTCCCTGAAAACAGATTTTCACTTTCAGTGGATGCTCTAATTTGCCTGGATCATTATTAGCTGGTGACTAAACATGTCTCACCCTTTCCCAGACCTCTTTCTTCCACCTGTCTCTCCATTGACCAGCTCCTTTCCACCTTGTCAGACATGAGCCTCTGGTCCTTCTGTTGTGTAAGGCTTTTCACGATTTTTAGTTCCAGTCTGTATCTGCTACTCTTCTCAGTATTTCATGTGCTCTGTCAACTATGTTAGCTTCTGGTGAACGTTTATCTCGCTCTCCCACAGCTGCCTTGTGCTTTTCTCTCTGCCTTTTCTGAAGCATGGCATGCCTTCTTTCAATAACCTGTGAAGCTAGAGCTCTGTCAACTTTCAGATTCATCCTCAAAACCTACTTTTATTTGATTAAAATCTCTAGCAAATTACAAACCCATAATCTTGTGGTTGGGGCTTGGAAATCAGCTCGGAGCCCCTGATAGTGCAGCACGTGCATGAAATCAGCCCACAGTGTACAGCAGCTACATGTCACTTCTGGTGTCCTTCATCTTCCCTTCCCTCTAATACCCCTCACTTACTTCTAACTTTTTCAGTTAGATGGTAAGCTTGATGGGACAGTGACTGTCCCGTATGTTTGTACAGCACTTGGCACAGTGGGAAACGGTTCGGATGGGTGCTGCCGAAAGTACTCAATAATAACCTGGAGAAATGGTGCTGGTTAGTCTTGAATGAGTTGCAAAGAAGTCATTGTGTTAGTGTCTGCTGATTTGTCATTGGTCTGCAAATTGATTCTTTTTTTTCTTACCTCCATTCTCTTTGGCATGTGCTTCTGTTTTACTGTGCCCTGATTCTGTTTACTTTTATTTTTCTTTTTTCTTTCTCTCTCTTTTTCTCTCTCTCTCTCTCTCTCTTAAAAAAAATTTCCTAGAGACCAAATGAGAGGCTTAGCACACTACCGGAGAGACCAAGAGAAGATGCGATAATCTTGGAGGAAACCCCGGTTAGTACTCTGCCTACATTAATTCTTTCCAGATCCTTGGCATTCTAGAAATTATGTTGGCACATTAGAGTATGAACTTATCTCATAATTAGTTCACAGTTCTGGGAAATGTCTGTAATTATAGTGGCCAGCCAAACTCATTGCATTGTGTAAGTTGGTTTATTTCATTATCCCTGCCTGAAACACTATTCTGAGTAAATGCTTTCTGCTGGGGATTTCTGCTACTGAATATCTCAAGTGATTGTTGGGTTTGGTGGACTGTGCATCTGGATCTGAAGTGTCACTTTTGTCATGATTCCAAGAAAGGATTGTGTCTGATCTTCCTTTAGCTAGCAGACTGGTAGTCCAGGATGGAAAATAAATCGGAGAAGAAACAACAGAACACTGCTCCTGGATAATTGTGCATTTGGGACTGGCATTACACTGTTGTCTTGCATGGCTGATTTGCCTGTTTACCTCCTTTTATAGGTCCAGCAGTTATTACCGTCTCTTCCAACAAAGGTCACAAACGATATCAAGTTTCAGATTGGCGATCTGGTGTGGTCCAAGGTGGGGACTTATCCTTGGTGGCCTTGCATGGTTTCATGCGATCCACAGCTTGAGGTTCATACCAAAATTAATACGAGAGGTAAGGAAAGAAAACCACTGACCTTCCACGTAGGTGCCTTCATGTAAAAAGAGTAGTTAATGAAGGTATTTTGGGATTAGTTCAGAGAAGAGCAGGGTGTCCTCAAATGGGCTTTGGGGCAGCTGACATCTGGATATTCTGAAAAATAAATTTTGAATGGAATTACATTTTAAACTGCTGCTGCAATGTTCATTCCATTATCTGGCCTGGCTTTCTGTGTTCCCATCGTGAAGATACAACTGTATGGAATTGCAAGCGTGCGTGTGGTTTAGCCTACATTAAATAGAGATGTTTGCACGTAGGTGCATGTAATTTGGGGGTTAGCCACGTCTATACAGGCACATGGGCCTTTTTCTCTTTCCCAAGTTTTAAAGATAGATTTTTCCACTTCTATTCTTGTTGAGTTAGTACCTTGTCAAGAGATTGCATAATGCGTCTGGTAGCGCTCGGTGTTATTAAGGGTCACCCTAACCTGGGGATGAAGGTAAAGCTGTCTGTAACTTCTAAGGGCAGCGTTTAGTTTTTCATTTGTATAAAATTAGATTGTTAATATTTTTTTTATTATTATTATTATTTACTATAGCTTGCTATCAGAAAATTCTTCAAAAAAAAATTCCACAGATGGCCAGAACCTCAGTGTAGCACACTGCAAATTGATCTAGTAGCCCCTCTTTTTTGTGTTTCCATTCTGACTATGTGGTCTTGATGGCTTGGCGCTTAAACCTATGAAAGCCTATCATATGTCAATGAAGAGGCTGCCTAGATTTTACCATTTAAGTTTTTCAGAGCTGAGCGGAACTTCCAGGGGCAAGAACTGAGTGAGTTGAGGCGAGATGGAGGGAAAGGGCAGTGTGTAAGCTTAATTGTCCAAGTAAATGCCCCAGTTGACTTAGGGTGATAGAACTGATTACTAGAGTGTGTTTTAATTTCAGGTGCCCGTGAATACCATGTTCAGTTTTTTAGCAATCAGCCTGAGAGGGCATGGGTGCATGAGAAGCGGGTTCGAGAGTACAAGGGACACAAACAGTATGAGCAGTTATTGGCTGAGGCCGCTAAGCAAGCCAGCAACCACTCGGAGAAGCAGAAGGTATGTTCAGCACTCAGTGTATTACGGAGATATATAAACTGTTTGTTAAAGTAAAACCCAAATTGGGCAAAGGATACGTATTTCAAAACTTGGTAGGCTGGTTTATGTTTAAATGGTGTGCGAAAGTAAAGGGCAGCTTCTCTTCCACCTGGGAATACGTGATCTTTATTTATAGAAAGCTAAATATTGTTATGTGGTCTTTTGTTGAAATAAATATTCATGCTTCTTTTATATTAAACAGTTATGGGTATAGCCTTTTTAGAGGCCTAGTTCTAATTGTAAATAAAACAAATGTTTGATATGAATATAAGCAGCGTTTCTAATACATTCATTATTAATCCAACCATAAGGAATTTTTTTAAAGAAACAGTGTGTAGTCTTCCTGGGTAGCTCATACTTTTGACTTGGTTGTTCCATTGGGAAAAGAAATATTAGCCACAATTATCACCCACTAGAGGTGGACTAGTTGAGCAGATCTTAATTAGAAGTAGTAATGACTAGGGAAGAGAAAGGTCAGAAGATGAGAGAAGATTTTTTTTTTTTTTTTTTTTTTTTT